AGCCCCCGGGAGCCTGAGGCAAGCACACCTCGGGCCTGGAGCCTTCTACGGTGGCAGCAAGGCTGCAGACCCCTGCCCTCCCAGGCAGTGACAAGGGAGGCCTGACAGGGTCACCTCCCCACTGCTCATGGGGTGGTCTTCACAGTTGGGGGGGGTAAGGGGGACCCTCAGACACCAGCACTGCAGTTCAGCCTTGGGCCCTGTTAGAGAGGAGAAGCTTCCCCCCGACTGGGTGCAGGGGCCTTCCGCCTCTGGGAGGCCTCCTCGCCAGGGTGTTTCCTGAAAAGGGGCGCCAGCCTAGGCAAGGTTTGGGGAATGTGTGGTGCTCCCTGCCCGCAAGCCGAGTCTCAGAGCTGACCCAGCGGAGATTGCAGGGGCAGGGCCTGGCGAGCCAGGGACCTTGTACAATTTTACTGTGAAAGGACTTTACATCTACAGAAGAACTGCAAGAATAATCCAGTGAACTCCAGTAGACCACTTACTGAGACGCACCAATTACCAGCATATTCGCTCTTCTCCCTGTCTTCCTGCCTGTCTGCCCACCTGCCTATCTGAATGCTGAGCCCTTTGAGACGAAGTGCAGCCATCATGCCTCCTTGCCCTCAACACTCCCAAGAACTAGGGTATTCTCTTACATAACAAGAGTCAGTGATCCACGTCAGGAAATGAACACCGATACAGTTCTAGGATCTAAATTACGGCCTTATTCAGATTTCACCAGTGGACCCCAGCCCCCCCTTCCAAGAACACATGTTGCATTTAGTTGTCGCATCTCCTTAGTCTCTGATCTGGAGATGAATAATTCCTCAACCTTTGTCTTTCACGTCCTTTGACATTTTTGGAAGCCCAGTTATTTTAAGACGACCTTGTATTTGGGTTCGGCTGATGTCGCCTACGATTTGGCCCGCTGGGCACTGTTGGCAGGAAAGCCCCAGAGGTACCTTTGTGTCTTCCCAGAGCATTGCCCTCTCTGGGAGCTGGGAGCCTAGAAGCGGGCCGTGGGTCTGGCTTGTCTGGGCCCAGGGGGAGCTCTCATGGGTGGAGCCCTCAGGGGTGAAAGGTGCCCCAGGGACCTGCAGGTGGGCTGGCCAGGGCTTTGTTAACCAAACGGCAACTTTCCTGGGATTTTCCTGGGAAGCACACCGGGTACTGCGTTGTCCAGGGGCCTCAGACTCCCGGCAGCACTCAGTGCCAAGGCCCAGCTAAGCCATGGTTTTCTCAGCTCTGAAGCAGGGCTACACAGTCAATAGGATGGCATGTCCTGACACCCACTAGACCCATTCTAGGGACTGCTTCCTTGTGGGCTGAGCATTCCTGGATCACAGTTGAGATTGGGCACGGGCAGGCCTGACCCCACTAAAGCTGACTGTCAGGGATGGGGTGGGGAGGCCTGGCTGCCATCCTGGTCTTGAAAACTTTACTGGCTGTCTGGCGCCCCCTGTCTGGCAGTTTGGGAAGGATGGACAGGCTGGAGTGGTGCAACCATGGGTGCACCCCATGGTTGGGGTGGTGCTCTGGGGCTCCTCAGGCCAGGATCCTTGAGAAAGGATCCTGGTGTGGGCTGGCTGGAGCTGAGGTGGGGTACGGGGCAGGGGTTATCATGCAGGCCTCTCTGCCTGTCTTCTTCTCTGGGGCCCTTGGGTACCCCAAACCCTGCAAACCCCAACTCATGAGCAGAGAGAGGCTCCTGCTGAAAAGGCTGCCCAGGGATTGATGTGCTGATTGCACCCCAGCTTGTTTCTGTGTGTGTGGGTGGGGGGTCCCCACCCACCCTTTCCTGGGGCTTCCCTTACAGTGATGGCAGACACCCTCGCCCACCCCTCTGGCCCTGCTCTGTCTAGAGGCAGCAATGTGCTGGCATCAGTTTCTTAGGATATGGAGGCCCTTTGGGCTTTCAGCCGCAGACACAGAGGCATGTGTGGGTGCTGGACCCCGTGTCCTGTGGGCTGCATGGCTTTGCTTAGGTTAAGGCCACTGCCCTTGTGGTGTGGGGTGGGCCTCTCCTCTCCCCAGGAGGTCCCACCTCCTGTGGCAGTGGCCCCTCAGGGGGCCCAGGGTGGGCAAGGACCCTGGTTCCTGGAGGGGGCACTGTCTCACCTTCCTGGCCTCTTCTCCACGGTGAAGGCTGACCTGTGTCTGCCCTGTGGGGGGAGGGGGACCCTCACGAGTGTCACCTCACCCAGGACTACAGAGCCCCCCAGTTCAGATAGGGAACCCCAGGGTCCTCTGAGAGAGGCAAAGTGCCTGCCCAAGGTCCTGGGTGTGGCCCATGTCCCCCTGCCTCTCACAGCTTTTTTCTGAGAGAGCCTGTTGGTCCCTTACTCCCCGCCCCCACCCCAATCAATCTGTCCTCACTTGGGCTGGAGCAGCCTGGCCCCAGTCGGGGCTCTGGGGACACATGTGGCCTCTCGACCTCGGCTGTGAAATGGGAGGGCTGGGGTAGCGCTGAGCCCCAGAGCCTCGCACACAGCGCCACCTCCCAGCTGGTAACCGCCGGGGCGACGTCTCTGTCGCCCTGCCGCGGGGCCCCAGCGCCTGTCCTTGAACTTGCAGCCGAGGGCCCGCAGGAGCCCGCGCCCACCCTGTGGAATGAGCCCGTCGAGCTGCCGTCGGGAGAAGGCCCCCTGGAGAGCACCAGCCCCGCCCGCGAGCCCGCGGCCACCGGGCCCCCGGCCCCCACGGACGCGCCGGGCCCCGAGGACAGCACGGCGGGGGAGCGCCTGGACCAGGGCGGCGGTAGGGGCGGGGGCCGGGCGGGCGGGGAAGGGGGAAGGGAAGGGGAGCCGGGGCCATGGGCTGACGGCCCTCCGTCCTCCGCAGGCTCGCTGGGGCCTGGCGCCATCGCAGCCATCGTCATCGCCGCCCTGCTAGCCACCTGCGTGGTGCTGGCGCTCGTGGTCGTCGCGCTGAGAAAGTTTTCCGCCTCCTGAAGCGAATAAAGGGGCTGCGCCCCCGCCCGACGCCACTCGGCTCACCCCTGTGCGCCTCGTGTCTCCAGTGTGTCGGCGTGGGAGTGGGCGAGCAGGAGGCGACAGCGCGCGACACGTGCACCTGTGTGCGCGTGCGCCCGGGCCCCCACCGGAGCCGCGAGGGCGTGCGCGGTGCGCGTGCGCGCGGCGTGGTGGGGGGGGGCGGCCGGAGGTGTGGGCAGGGCCTGGCTGGGGAGTGGGGGCGGGAGGACTGGGCTAGGGCTGTGCGGGGCGGGCGGCCCTCGGGGCTCCCAACCCGAGGCAGGGTTATTTTGCGGGGGCGGGGCGGGGGTGTGTCTTCTGACTTCGGCAGCCGGGGCCCCATCTGTGGGCTCGGAGCCCTAGCCCCGCACCCCCAGGACACCCGGGGACCCCTCTCCCCCAGAGCCCCAGGAGCAGGACGAGCGAGGGGTGAAGCCTGGGCGCTGTGGCCCTGTCCCCTCTCCCCCACCCCACTATCGACGCGCAGTCCCAGGCGGGCTCCCAGGTCTGGCTGGGGTTGGGCTGCAGGTGACAGGAGTGTCGCGTGTTTAGAGAAAGAAAACAAAAAGCCTTTTCAAGCTCATCTCTCCTGGCTTCAACTCCGCATTGGTGGGAGGGGGACGTGCTGAGGGAGGGATGGGGAACCGCCCAGCGCGCCCTCTTCCTCCACCTCGGCCCTGGCACTCCGTCCTCGTCCTGGTCCTGCCCACTGTCTCCCACACTTCCCAGGAAGCCTACCTTTTATAATTGAGAGATTTAAAATAGTGGCTGACCGGCTGTGGGCACAGCAAGGAAGAAACCAGAACTCCGCCTAAGGGAGTGTCTGCAACACCCCCGTGATGGACGGCTGGGAGGTCCCCACGCGTGGGTGCTAGTGTGTGTGGGGGGCGGTTCCTCCTCCTCCTCTGTTTCACCGTTGTCTCTAGCAGCTATCTTGGCCTCCTTGGTGTCCCTGAGCTCCTGGCTACACCTGTTTGGGCTAAGACCAGTTTCCTCTTCCTGGACACTCCAGATGAACACACGTGGTACCCACACACACTCCCTAAAACATATCAGGGCTTAAAAGTTTCTGCTTGTAAAGGACTGTTTGTTATAAAACTGACCAGTGCTCATGAAACTGTTTAAATGATTTCAATTCTCATAACCTCCAGCAGCCAAAAAAGCCCTCTTTACAGCAGATGATCCCAGTCAGGATGCTGTTTCCCAGCTTCAAAAAGAAGAGCTGGACCACAGCCAGGACCAACGGCCACCTCCCACCCTTTGTCCCCCCACCCCCACCCCCAGAGCAGCATGGGGCTCAGAAACGGCACATCTCCCCTTCCCCCACTCCTGGGGCACTCAGGGGCAGGTACTGCCCCCTGGGGTGCACAGCACAGAGGCCCCCAGAGCACCGGCCCCTCCCTGGGACCAGGGGGTCCCTCCCCAGCTGAACCCAGTGTGTTGCATGTGAATGCATCTTCCAGGACTTCATCCAGTTCTCAAAGGGTCTGAGGGCGGAAGAACGCCAAGCGCCGTGCAGTGGCCTGAGAGAAGATGCTACGAAGTCCCACCTGATCTAAATCCTGGGCTTCCAGTGTGTCCTGGCAGAAAGAGCGTGGTCCCGGACAGGCAGGCCTGGGTGGGGTCAGATTCAGGGTTCTCCATATTCCAGGACTGAAGGGGGTGGGGGTGGGGTGGCTCTGAGGGCCAGCTGGGCTTGGGGAGGAGCTGCAGCCTCTGGGTAATCAGTGACTGGCCAGGTAGAGAGCCCCAGCCCTGTGCCTGGTGATCAGATCCCTGGTGCCACCACCGCAGTCCCACTGTGGTCTTTCAAACCTGCCTTCTCACTTCTACTGCTGCAGAAGGGTGTCCTCAACTCCCTCAAACAGCTTCTTCTATTTCTGAAGTCCTTCCGTTAGTGGAGGCCCAAATCCACTTCCACCCTGAGGCCCCAACCCTAGCTGCTGCGTCCTCCGCTGGCCTTGAAGGGGGCTCCTCTCTCCCTGCCCAGAACCAAACACCTGATTCCTGTGTGCACCAGGGAAATAAAGAGTAGAATTTCACCTCATCTATTTTGTACATGATGCTTCTTTTAATGCAGCCAAAAATGATATTTGCTTTTCTTGGAACCATGACTGATACAGGATGCAGCGACCAACTCATTCCTCACAACAGCTGGGCTCCTAAAGAGGCCAGAGACACAAGTTACACGCAGCCCATCAGGGAGCCAGGGGCACGTGGGCCCTCGGCCAAGCTCTGGTAGGCCCTCCACGAGGCAGGGCCTGGCCGTGCAGCCAGAGGCTGGCGAGGTTTGGGAGGCGGTGAGCAGAGGCGGCTGGTCCCTCAGTCTTTTGAATTGGGACCAAAGTCTGCCCATCAAGCTCATCAGGCAGGAGCGGTCCACCTGCACGCCTGGTGGATTCTGATGGCTTCCGGGGTAGAAAGGACACGTGCAGGGGGTAATGACAGTCATCACCTTCGCACCTGCCCTCGGCCAAGGACGCCCTGGGTCTGGGGCCTCTTCCAGGGCCTGGGAAGGCCCCTGAAGCATGCCAACCCCCGCCACCCCTTCTAAGAGACAAGAGGGAGCGGTGGGGTAATACTGTTTAAAATACACTTTCCTGTTTACAAATGCAGCAGAGGAGACACGTGGGCACCCGTCCTCCAGTTAGTGAGTGAGGGCAAGACACACGAGCACGCACCACGTGGCAGGGATGAGGGCTGGGGACAGCTCCCGCACGGGGCACCCCGGTCACCCCCTGTGCCTGGGGAGGCGCTGGCCTACCCCCAGGGTCCCTCCACCATCTGTCGGGGTTCGCCTGCCAGGCCCTGCTCCCAGCTGCCCACATCCCTCCGCCAGGCTGGGGGCCAGGGGTCATTGCCGATTTCGGCTGCCCAGCTTCCTGCGGTCCTTATTCTGGCTGCGCTGAGGGTCGTCCATCTTGTGGACACGGAAACATTCCTTGAGGTTCTGCGACCGGATCTTGGGATTCAAGATCTCCTCAGTCATGTTGCTGGGGAACCAGCCTCTCTCCTGGTCGTGCAGACGCTCACCAAAGATCCACCCTGCACGGGGAGGGGATAGGGAGGGTCAGGAGCTCTCGCAGGGGCTCAGGCTGGGCCTCCCTCCAGGCCGGGGCTCCTCTCTGCGCGGGGAGCAGAGCGAGGAGAGGCGGGAGAGCAGCCGGCCTCTGCAGAGGGCCCTGCTCTGCAAACCCCTGCCAGAGATGCTCAGACTGGGTTTGTCCCCCCCAAGCTGGGCAAGTGCAGCCCCGACATCCTCCTGAGGAGCACGATGCGTGTGCACAGAACCAGCCGTGCTCCATGCCACAGTGTCTCCTAAATGGATTGCCTTTGGAACCCATTCCCAACCCTCAGCAATCCTAGGCCGCCCCAGACAAGGCCAGGGGACCCCAAGGGTCAGTCCCCAAGGGGCTGGTGGAGGTGGCAGCTGACCACTTGGTTATCCAGCCTGGAAGGCCACTGTCACCCTTGTGTTGGGCAGCCCTCCCTGGAGAGCTGGGTGGTCAGCTGAGGGTGGCCATCGTGACCTGGCCGACACCAGCAGAGTGCCCTGGCCCTGCCTCCCTCCCCCTGAGATCACCATGTCTCTGCCCGGGGCGCATTGGCAGGTCCCAGGGCAGGGCTAAGACCTGGGGTCTGAGGCCTGAGGTGCCCCTCTGCAGGCCACGCGGGAGAGGGGCCGGGCTGTTTATTTCTGCAGGCGGAGGGCAGGGGCCACTGCTCTTCCAATGCCGGGTGAGCCCCTGGGATTTAGGAACAGCAGAAATGTCCTGCCCTGAGGTCACCAGCCTGAGGCCTGCCAGCCAGGAGCTTGAAGGAGAGGAGGACCTGGGGGAGGGAGATGCTTCGTGCACTTTGGGGGATTCTGACTAGGAGCAACTGGTGTAGAAATAAGGGGTCAAGTTTTCGGGGGAGGGGAGCAAACCTCATTTGGCACTGGCACCAACAGCAGGGGTGGGCAGGAGCTGGGGGGGGTGGCTGCTTGGCCTACCCGGGGCTCCGAGCCTGGTGGTCACAGGCTCACCTGGAAGCTCATCGCAAATACAGGGTCTAGGGTGTTCCGGGCCGTCACCCCTCCCATTGTGATGGGTGGGCGGAGGTCAGGGCGGGAGGAGGGGAAGGGGACGCAGAGCCAGGCGCTCGGGTGCTAAGCGGGGAGGGTGGACCTCGAAGTTCCGGGAAAGGACAGCAGAGGTCCTGGGAGAAATGTCTTCTCTGTTCTGAAGAAAGGCCAGGGGAGGCCAGGATGGACAGAACGGTCTGAGGGAGCAGAGACGCGGCAGGGCCCCGGGCTCCGCCTGCCCCTCAGCCAGCTCTGACGTCTGCTTCTCCACCTGGGGCTGGAACGCCCCACCTCGTCCCTGGGGCTGGGCTCCGAGCGGGACAGGCGCCGGCCGGGCCTCACCGTCCTCGGTCTTGTCCAGGATGTTCAGGATGTCGGCCAGCTCCAGCGTCAGCTCGTCCGGCTGCTGGGCCACGTACGGGTGCACACACTGGACCTGGGGGCAGTCTGAGGGAGGGCAGAGGGAGGGGCACGTCCTTGTCACTGTGTCTCCGCCCTGCCCGGTGCACAGGCAAACCCTGGCCCCCCCGGCGGTTACGGGGACGCGCTGCCCGCCTGAAGAGCAACGCAGACTCCGCAGCATCTGACAAAGGGCTCCTGTTGGGGAAGGTGGGGGGAGGGTGTGGCTCCAGAGAAAACGAGACTAAAATAGCCAGGAGTTCTGGGAAAACAGCACAGGACAAGGGGGTGCAGAGGCTGAGAGCGGCCCTTATTCTCGACTTCAGAAGGAACTTTCTGGACCTGGGATGTGGCCCTGGGGGCAGTGCCGGGATGGTCAGGACCCGGGAGCCTGGTAGGGACAGAGTGTCTCTATCGGGCACTGCACCTGCGCTCTTTTATATACTGTAAGGTTTTCAGACAACCGGCGACCCCCAAGAACACTGGTGTTTGCCTCTGGGCTCAGATCCCTCCTGGTTTCCTCATGGTACCTGTCACTTAAGACCCAGTGACTTATTTCTGCGTGAACCCTCCAAAGGTCTGCAAAGCTCAGGGACGCCCACGTCCCCCATGGGTACAGAGCTTGCAGTTGGTATACAGAACCCTCGGGCCATCCCAGCGGCTTCCCGGAGGCCACAGGGCCGCTGGAACACTGGCCTGGAAGCCCGGCCCTTTCAGGGCGATGCAAAGAGCTGATGCAGCGCGGCGGGCAAGGCCGCAGCCTCCTCTGCCCCCTCACCTGCCCCACCCAGCTGGCGCCCCCTGCCCGCGGGACCACTTACCCAGCAGCCGGGACGTGAAGGACACAAACTTGGTTCTCCGGTTGGGGGCCAGTGAGGTCATCCACCGCTTCATCTCACTCCTGCGACAGGGAGGGGACACACGTCCAACTGCAGAGCCACGGCCCCCACCGAGCTGGCCCCGGGGTCCTGACCCCGCCCAGGGCTACAGCAGGAGGGTGCCCAGAGTCCAGCAGGGAGGCACGGGGCGGGGGGCCCTATATAATCTCCCCAGCTTTAAAGGCAGTAGGTGAGGGTGAGCCCCCCTTGACACCCCAAAGTTAAGCCACAAAAGAGCACTGGGCGGCCAGCTGCCCCGAAGCCACAGTCTGTCAGGAGTGTAAGCCGGGGAAGGCTGACGTCACCCCCGCCCCAGGCGGTGGGAACGGGACTGAGATAGAGGGGTGATGCCTGTGAGTCTGGGGGAGGAGGGAGGCTGGCTGGGCCCCACACAGGGCGTCTAGGCTCCCCGGCTCACAAAGCATCTCCCCCACACCGATCTTGGTCTCTCAGAGCGCCGGGGCTGCAGGGCAGGTGGCCTGGCTGCTCAGAGAGGTGACGAGGTGGGCCCGAGGCCACACAGCAACAGGAGCTCACTGGTAGTTGAGGGTTTACAACGTGTCGTGGGGCCCACGCAGAGTCTGAGGCCCAGAGGGAACACACACATGTGCACACACACACACACGTGCACATATACACACCCCCAGCAAGTGCAGCCACCCCCTAACAGCCCCACACCTGGCCCTAACTCCCCGACAGACAGAGACCCTCCCTGCAGGGTCTGGGGTGGGAAGGGCAGCGTGTGCGGAGCCCTGGAGCCTGGCTCTGCCTGGAAGGAGACTGGGCAGCGCCCCGGGTGGCGGCACCAGGCACTCACTGCGAGGACGCCTTCAGCATGTAGGTGGCCTCCCGGTCGTCCGCGTTCTCGAGCAGCCGCAGGATGAACACGTTGGCCAGCGTCTGGCCCTGGTCCTCCAGCTCCTCCACGCGGAGCAGGCCCCGTGGGGCCGAGTCAAACACCTGGTACTTGTCTCTGGGGACCCAGGGTGGCCGGGCGTGCGTGTTAGTCTGGAGGAGGCCTGGGGGTCCCTGGGGAACACCCCCAGCCAGCCAGCAGGACCAGCCCCACTGCTCCGGCTACTCCCTCCTTCTGGAAGCCCGCCACCTGAACCCCTCCCACGGTATGGACAGCGGGCAAGGGGTCAGCACTGATGACGCCACAGCGGCCCCTCTGCTGAGCACTGACTACGTGTCAGGTGCTGAGCTGGGCTCCCCATATCCCAAGGAGTGAAGCCCCCACTCGACAGGAGGGGAAACTGAGGCTTGGGGGTTTAAATAAACTTGCCCAAAGGCCCAAAGCTGGACAAGAATGGAGCGGCCCTTTAAACCTGAACCAAAGCCCAACCTCTCTCCTGCCACCCACCCACCACCCCCCAGGCCACAGTGGAGCCCCATCCTCTCCGTGCTGCAACCCCCGCGGCGGCTGCTAACCGCCAGGCGCCTGTCGCGCCGCTTACCCGGGAATCTGCCGGCAGATGACCAGCAGGTCGTTGAAGAGGAAGAGGTAGATCTCCCGGAAGAGCTTCTTGGTCCGCAGGGTCCGGGAGGTCTTGGGGCCGGACATCTGCTGCAGCTCGCCCTGCTTCAGCAGCCAGCGGGAGTGGGAGATGATGGGCACCGACTGCGCGAGGGGGATGGCGTCAGAAGGGCCGTGTCCCTCCACGCCCCTCCCCCAGGCCCCCCAGCGCCCTCGCTGGAATCACAACGTGAGTGACAGCATGTGAGGGCTGCGCTGGGCCCGGAACACATGGAGCGCTGGTCAGAGGAATGGACGAGTCCTGGGCAGATGCAGGAAGGGCAGGGTGTGTGTGTGTGTATTTGTGCCTGTGTGTGAGGTTGGATTTGTCTGTTGCGTATGTATCCGCCTGTGCTTCTGTGTATATGTGCTCTATGTCCATGTGTACTGTGTGTGTCTGTACACATGTGTGAGTGGGCGTGTGTGGGTGCCTCTGTGTGTGTGTCGTCATCCCCCCACCAGGCTCAGCCCATGGGGTGTAGAATCAGAGAAGGGGCCAAGTTCAGAGGCAGAGAAGAGAACTGGGTACCACGAGGCTGGGAGGCCTGGTCTGCGGTCCTCACTCCAGGGCGCAGGGGCAGGCTCCTGGCACCTGACAGCTGGACGAGCTACATGGGGGGCCCAGAAGGCCACGTCCGCATCCTCGACGGGGGCTCAGCTCCCACACCCAGCGTGACCTCACATGTGCCCACATCACCCAGGCCCTAGGGCCCAGCAGGCTCACTGCTGCCTGAAGCTTTAGGTAAAGTTGGGGGAGAAGGCAGCAACTTCCATCAGATTCTCAAATCCTCCAGATTGAAGAATCCCTGGAACGGTCCCTGTCATGGACTTCACGCCCGCTGACTGCTCAAGGCCACACAGCCAGTAAACGAGAGCAGAATTCGACTCGGGCAAGCAGCTCCCAGGTCCCCGCACACCATCCCTCGGAAGATAGTCTAGGCTGGTGTGATGGAGAGTGGCGAGTGGGGGCAGGGAAGGCCTCGGTGGACGTGACCTTGCACTGAGACCCAAGGGTGGCCATTCAGTGATCACTGGGCCAGTGACCAACGCTCTAGCCGGCCGGGCTGGGTCGGGACAGGTGGATGGGCACGGGCTCACCTTGATCTTGAACTCCATCTTCTTCTGAATGCTGATCATCTGTTCCGTGCGGCTCATCTTCCTCACGCCCTCGTTGCATGCTTTCACCACCTGGGACAAGAAGGAGGACATGTCAGGCCCCTGCAGCCAGCTCTCCCCGGCCACCTCCTTCTGCCCACTCGGGCCCCAGAGGGCTGAACAACCACTGGGACCCGACACTGGCACCACAGCTGAGACTGGCCAGTCTCCCAAGGGTGGGAGCTCCTTGCTCCAGCACCTTCTGGAACAAAGGCCAGTTGGAAAACCTGTGGGGCTGTTAGTTATGGCTCTCGGTTCTGGTGGAGAAAGTGTCTTGCCCTCACTAGGAAGTAAACTCCAGGGAACAAATAAAAGGATGCCAACCCCTCACATCACCTAGAAAGCAAATTTTTTTTTATAATTTTATTTATTCCCCCCCCCCAAAAGCCCCAGTAGATAGTTATATGTCATAGTTGCACATCCTTCTAGTTGCTGTATGTGGGACGCAGCCTCAGCATGGCCGGAGAAGCGGTGTGTCGGTGCGTGCCTGGGATCCGAACCCAGGCCGCCAGCAGCGGAGCGCGCGCACTTAACCGCTAAGCCACGGGGCTGGCCCTAGAAAGCGAATTTAAACAAGTAGATGTCCTTTCCCATCTGTCCGACTGGAAGAGGCAAAGGGCAGACACGGCTCCAGGCTGGCGGAGGTGTGGGAGACGGGCCCTGTCACACGCTGTGGGGCGGTGCAGATTCCCCACCGTCCTGGAGGCAACCCAGGTACCTGGGTACCTAATAAACTGCATTTCCTGGGATTTCTGGGGACTCCTTTGGAAGAAGCAACACTCCACGCTGGATCATGAGTGTCTGGAACAGAGCCGGCACCGAGCAGGCACTCAGCAGTTGTGCATGAGGACGGTGCCTGAAGACATGTGCACTACAATGTTCCCTGCAGTGTTGTTTAGAATTAGAACTGTCATCGACCTAAACGTCCCCCAACCGGGATTGACACTAATATATCTATATAACCCTGTACTCTGAAATCATTAAAAATTGCAATAATTTTACATGCACTAGAATGGAGAGCACAGCAGGCTTATATATCACAATCCCTTTGTGCAAAGAATACAATTGTGTGTGCCGGCGTCTGTTTGGAAAGAGGTCTGGAAGGGCAAGCCCCAGCATGTCTGCAGGGGCATGTGGGATAACTGGTGATCTTTACCATCATCTTTTTACTTACGAGTACTTTCTGAATGTTTTTTTTGTATTGAGCATCAATTATTATTTTTTTTTCCCCCCCAAAGCCCCAGCAGATAGTTGTATGTCATAGCTGCACATCCTTCTAGTTGCTGTATGTGGGACACGGCCTCAGCATGGCCGGAGAAGCGGTGCATCGGTGCGCGCCCGGGATCGGAACCCGGGCCGCCAGCAGCAGAGCGCGCGCACTTAACCACTAAGCCACGGGGCCGGCCCGAGCATCAATTATTTTTATATATTAGGAAAAAACCCCACCTTTATTTAAAAAAAAGTAAGCTATGAGAAACAAGAGTATACCTTTCATTACAAGGAGAAGAAAGGGAGCTGACAAGCAGAAAAGAATTTAAGAAACAGAAAATGTTTGCCTGGCCCAGGCTGACGGCAGGGAGACCCCTTGGGGCACGTGGGCCTCTCCCAGGCCGCGGCCATCACTGGACTCACCTTCTGGGGCTCACTGAGGCCAGCTGCCCAGTGGGGGCTGGAATGAACTCCCATCCAGTCAGGTATGTGAGTTCCAGGGGTGGGCAGAAGGCCCCAATGATGCTGCCCAGCTCACAGGTCACTGACCCTCCCCGACCAGCCTTCTCGAGGCTCCAGCCTTTCCCCGACGAGGCTGGGAGGGGAGTGCTGTTTCCCCCAATATTCAAAGGGTGCCAGAAGGATTTCGGTGGCCAACTGGTCTGAGTAACGGACTCGAGGGGAGGCTGGGGGAAATGACTTAAGAAGACCTCTTTGCTCCACGGGGCTTAGAGCCACCATGAGACGCCCACTGAGGCTCGTCCTTTTACTAAGCTGCCGCTGCTGGTAGGAGACGTGGAAAGGACTTCCCCACACCAGGCTCCCGTCCTTCACGGGGTCACCAGCATGACAGAGCCGCCCTCACACAGCTGCCAAGAGCCGGCTCTCAGCTCCAGCCGACACCGGGAGCCAAACACAAGAGACAGCACTTCAAGACAGCAGGATCGGGCCGGCCCCGTGGCTTGGTGATTAAGTGCGCGCGCTCCGATGCTGGCGGCCCGGGTTCGGATTCCGGGCGCGCACCGAGGCACCACTTCTCCGTCCATCCTGAGGCTGAGTCCCACATACAGCAACTAGAAGGATGTGCAGCTATGACATACGACTATCTACTGGGGCTTTGGGGGAAAAAAAAAAAAAAAAAAAACTTTAAAAAAAAAAAAAAAAAGACAGCAGGATCCACGTTAGCTGAGCACCGAGAACGGACACATCCCCTGACCCCTCCTGCATGACCCCTACTCAGCTGGCGACTTCCAGGAGGAACTGCTTCTCTCCGAGGATCAGGAGCGGAGATGGGTTCCTCTCTGCCAGGGCTTGGCAGGGCCAGCGAGTCCTCCCGCAGAGAGAGGAGAGGGGCAGCTCGAGAGACGGGAGCGGCGTGGAGGAGAGGCGTGCGGGGCAGAGCTACGTCAGGGCACAAGGACAGCCAGAACCAGCCTCAGCACGTGTCACGGGAGGGAAGACACAGGAAACAGGCAAGGACAAGCGTGGGGCCTCTGAGGGCCCCAGACGCCTGCGGTGAGGCAGCTGATGAGAGAGACCCGGCCTGTGGGTGGCAGCAGAGGCCCACACGGGTAAACACCGCCAGCTGCTGCCTCGTCCACCCCGGGCACACCAACAGCCGGCAGTGGAGAAGGCAGGACATGGCGCTCTGCGCAGGCTGCACCGACCTATTTTTTAGACCCCATGACTTTTCTGGATTGCAAAAGCAAATAGTAAAATGAATTTGCATTTTCCAAAGACCCACCGACATATGAGGGAGCAGGACCAGGAAGGTGGGTGTAGACGAGGAAAGCAATTTCTTGGGAAGTATAGAGAGAGGAAGCACGACTCACCAGTTCCAGTTCTCTGTGGGCATCCAAGGCGGTGCATTCACGCTCTGACCTCTCTTCCACTCTCTTCAGAATGTTCTGAGCACGGGGAAAGTCTGCATTAATTTTTATAACGGATGGCCTTTCCTCCCCTCTGCACCCCCGCTTTGCAGTGGTGGCCTCCTTGCTGCACTGGTCCTAACAGCTTCATGTTGCTGTGACATCCACATACAAAGAGCCCTTCCAGGTGACGGACAGAGGGCAGGAGAACCCTCAGCTGGACGAAGGCTGAGCATCTTGCCCCAAAGCCTTGCCTGGTTCTAAAATGAGAACCACAAGGCAAAGTGTCCCATGAGGATTAAACGTGAGGGCCAAGCCAGAGCCCCAATCTCCATACAATGAAGCTCAAAACAGAGGAGGTGGCCACTGCTGGCGGGGAGGGCAGGGTTCAGAGGTGAGGGAACAGTCAAGCCTAGGGCCAGCCCTGTCCCCAGGGGGAGCTCAATGCTTACGGTGGGCACCAGGGGCCTCCCCACCCTCTCCTTTGGGATTGTCATTTGAAACGTAGTCACAACAACCCCGAGGCTTTGTTAACTCTGCTCTTATTGATAAAAATGTCTTTTTTCTAATTGTTCAATTTTCTTGAATTAACAGAAAATGATGCTCATCTTGCCTCTGCCTATAAATTGCACGTCTGCATTACTCTCCAAACTTGACACAGTCTCTGCCGAGCTGTCCTCACCGTGCCCATATTTTTGCATCTGCTTTTGTCCCATAAGGAGTTTTGGGTGCGTCTGAGCACATCCACCTCCCTCCACCTGCCGCGTGCAACCGCTGCCCCACAAGTGTCTCCAGCGCCCGAAGACCGCGGATGACCACGCCACCCCCGCTGATCGCTGGATGCTGGGCACTCCTTTTCAGCTGCCCACCACGCTCAGGCCTCTCTCCTGGGCTCCAGAGCAGACCTAGGTCCCTCCTGCTGCCTCTGCCCAGCCAGAGACCTGCAGTCATCTCAGACCCCTCCTCGCCCCTCCCTCCCCAACGTGGGGCCACCAAACCCTGTCATTAACCGTCCCCTTACTCCCAAATCTATCTCCAACCAACGGGTTCAGGCTCCATGTTTACTCATTGGAATAAAACTCTCATATGACCAGGCGGCTCCTGCTCGTGGCCTCAGATGGAGATGGTGTGGCTTCCTTAGCCGGGTGCACGCGCCCCGCATGCCAGACGCCTCTCTGAGGACCCCCGTACCCGCCTTACGCAGTGACTGGCAGTTCTACCTGGAACACCCCACCCCACCTTCACCTGTCGAACATGCTTCCTCTGAATGCTTCCCCGATGGCTCCCCAGACTGTCTGGACCCCCTACCCCCATTCCACTGTTTTCCTCATGACAACATTAAGGTAGGTCTTGATCTTAGTTTTGTTGGTTTTCATCATATAAAAGTTAGGTTTTTATATATCCATATGAAAATGGTTATAAAATCTTTTCCTATAAAATTTCTTAAAATTTTTTTTCTCTGCATAATTAGGAAATGTTACTGTCTTCTGTTTCAGTTTTTCCAAGTTGAAAAAAAATTCAGGGGCTGGCCCCGTGGCATAGTGGCGAAGGTCGGCGCACTCCACTTCGGCAGCCTGGGTTCTTGGGTTCAGATCCCGGGCGCAGACCTACACCACTTGTCACCCATATTGTGGCGGCAACCCACATATAAAATAGAGGAGGACTGGCACAGATGTGAGCTCAGGGCCAGTCTTCCTGAGGAAAAAAAAAAATTCACACGTGACTCCTTCATTCCCAGGTGTCCTGTGAAGTGGGGTCGTCCTCTTTAAGTGTTCCTACAACACTCTCGCCCGCTACCCCAGGGGGTAGCTTCTTCTGACATTGTTTTTTTTGGTCTCTGAGCCCCTTTGTCCTGGGCTCCAACCTCTTCTCCTTACGACGCCGCTTCTCCAGTGGAACCAGCTGCCCACGGCCTTTGGCTTCCCACCTGTCTGACCTCTGACCTCCCCTAACTGTGGCTCACAGGTCACCATCTCAGTGCGTTCCCCTCAGAGCCACGGCTGGATCCACACCATCCACTTCCTCTGGCTGGTGGCTTCCCTCCGCTGGGTACATGGACAAACGCTCCCCCCAGCATGCAGAAGGCACCAGGGGTCTCTGACTCCTTGGAGCCCCCGTTTCAGGAAATCTCATCCTCTCCAGGCTCCTGTGACTCCAGCCCTCTGGGCCTTCCTCCTCCCGCACCACTCTTCCTTCTTGGGACAGTGTCCAGCACTGGGTCTCGGGACCCCTGTCTCTCCTCCCTTGGAGGTCTCTCTGATTAACTCCACCTAGATGCCCAGAGGTCCCGCCCCCCTGACTCCCCCTTTAACTCTAAACCTGGATATGCAGCTGCTCAAAGTGAACTCCGCCAGTTCAACACCAAACCCCATCGTCCCCAGCCCGTCGTCCCCACTGCAGGAAACAGCGTCATGCCCCAAGCTGCCCAATCTGGAAGATTCCTCTTCTTCCTTCTCACTCCACAGAAGCGAGTCCACGGCTCACGTCCCTGATTTCCCTTCAGGATCTGCCCATCCCACACCCAACCCCAGTCAAGCCACCTTTCTTTCTCAAATCACTTCCTAACCCTCCCTCACTTCACTCTTGCCCTTCTGCCGTCTCTCTCCACATGGCAGCCACTGTGAGCTCTTACAAGTGTCAGTCAGGTTAGGTGCCTCCTGACACACTGAGGACAGAGCCAAGTGTCTTACCAGGCTCCCCGGTTGACCTCTGCCCACATCTCCACACCTATTCATTCCCATTATGTTCCCCCAGCTCACTGCTGGCCTTCTGGTCTGCAAACCTTGCTGCCCCGGGGCCTTTGCACAACCAGTTCCCTGTCACCTGAATGGCTCCTCCCTGTCAGCCAAGTCTTAGTTTAATTGTCACTTGTTCGAGAGTCTTTCCTGACCCCCCAAGTGGCAGTGGCCAGGTATTGTGTCACCCTGTTTCACTGTCCTCACAGCCATGACCACTTCCTGGCTGTGTGTGTTTGTCAATCTCTACACCCGAAATGTGGCTCCCTGGGAGCAGGGGCTGAGTCCCCCCCTGCTTGGCACACAGTGCGAGCTCAATTAGGATTCGTGGAACAAATGGACTTCCTGGAAAACTAGCAGAGACCTGGAATGACCAAAGGGAACGGTCTGCAGCAGCAGCATATGCACGCCCAGTCTGCACGGCGGGTGGGAGAGGCCGGTACCTGGACCAACAGCTTGAGGCGCGTGATCCTCTGGAAAGGCAGGATGAGGAAGGAGGAGAGGGGCAGCCCCCTGCACTTGGGGTCCAGCTCCAGCTGTGCAATCAGCTCCCGGAAGGCTGCCTTCTCCTGGCTGGGGACACAGACACGAGAGTGGGTCTCCAGCTGGCAGGCGGCATGAATCGGGGCACGTCCTCCCCGTCACAGCCTCGGAGGAACCAGCAGGCCCACAGGCACGGAAAACGCGTAGATCTCTTCTTTTTTTATGGAAAATAAACTGTTCATGTACAGTCAAATAGCAGTCACCGCTTCACATGCCTGCCCCATGAAGACTTAGCAAAATACGTTGTGTGTGGGAGGACAAGCATTCCTCGCATGGCTAAGACTATGAATCAGACACTCACTCAGTGATGCACCCGGCAGGAAACCGCGGCAAGGTAGACCCACAGAGGGACAGGGATAGGCGGCAGGCCTCCGCGGCAGGCGGGAGAACCTGCGCTCTTCCTGCCAGGCGGGCATCTCGTCTGCAGACCAGCTCGGCAGCGGGCCGGGGCCACAGGGACGAGGGCTCCGGGGAATTACTGTGAGGGATCAGATGCAGGCCCGGGACTGTGTGTCACTGGGGACATGGCACTCTGCCTTTTCCTCGGGCTCAGACGGTCTGCACTCGCGGGGCCCGCCCCATCTAGAATATCTAGATTCCTATTCTCCTGCATGCTTGCCTTCTTAATGTTTGACCTCAGAAATGGCATCCTGATTCCCTCAAATCCCAATTTTCAATCAAACATAAAATATGCAAACCCCCTAATACTCAAGCTTTAAAACATCCACAATTCACTACACGTCTTGATGGAGAGGCCCCGCGAAGAGTAACGTTTAGATGTGAGGCTCAGAGAGTCCTCTGGGGCTCCCGAGTCGGGCTAGGAACACACTGCTGGTTACACTGCCGTTGAGGCGTGGCACAGAGATGCGAAGAATTCAAAAAGGGGCAAATTGACTGACAAATTATCTTGTCAATCGAAACCCCAATTAAGTTTACAACATGGGCAGATTAGTAATAAATCTAGGGCATTGCTGGAGAACCACCAAAAAGACTGCCTCGGCCCCATTCTTGCCTTTGTCTCTCGTTCAAACCACTCTCTGACATCCTGGGCCACGAGTTATTATCCTTTTGGCCTCAGACCCTCTTTTCTCAACTTCACGGTTGCTCTGCACGGCCGTCTGGACACAGGGCCAGTGGGCGCCATGGCTGACTGTCTTGGGGTCAATGTTTCTCTAGTGACACCAAATGCCCTAGAACTACCGGGCTTGGATACCATTCTGGGAAAGCAGAGGCCCAGGGCCCACGGCTTTGCGTCCATGGTTGTGCCGAGTGGCGGCCCCACAGTCTGGGGACACTCACAGCAGTTGCTTGTAGGTCCTCTCCTGGTAGGTCTGGTTGCTCACGTAGGTGATGTAGACTGAGAAGTGGTTGGCCGCGTAATCGTACACGATGTCGCACACGTCCGAGATGACGATGTTCTCCTCCATCCGGCGCTCCAGCTCCAAGAGGAACCTACAGGAGGCAGCGGCGAGTTAAGGGTGCCTGGGTGGGGAGACTCAGGATGCATCCCCACCAAGGGACCTGGCTGGGACAGACCAACAGACAGGACACGATGAGATCCCAGCGCTGGGGGCATATTTGGTCACATCAAGGAATTATTTGTTCAGTTTTTTAGGTGGATAATAGCATTAAGAGTCTTTTTTTTTTTTTTTCGGTGAGGAAGATTGGCCCTGAGCTAACATTTTCCATCTACTTTATATGTGGGACGCCTGCCATAGCATGGCCTGATAAGCAGTGCATAGGTCCACGCCTGGGATCTGAACCTGCAAACCCCGGGCTGCCAAAGTAGAGTGCCTGAACTTAACCACTACCCCACCAGGCTGGCCCTTAGGAGACTTTTTAAAAGAGCGACCTTATCTTTTAGATACATAGTGATGTGTTTACAGATGAAATGAAATGATGGCAGAGATCTGCCTCAGAGTAATCCCGTGGGTGGCAGCTGTGGGTGAACCTTGATGCTGAAGCGTGGGCTCCTTACACTGGTGTCTCTACTTGTGCGTGTTTGGAATTTTCCATAATAAAAGATAAATACACAAATAAAAAGACACCCCTCCCCACAGTGAGGGTGAAGTGGCAGAGGCCGAGGGGTCTCAGAGGCTGCTCTGGTCTCAGTCAGCTCTCACCCTCCCAGCCCACCGGGCAGGGCTGCCACGAGGAGGTGGGGGACTGCAAACAGAAAAGAGGGGTGTCCGTGTGGAGGAGGGACCCACCCGGCAGCTCCCAGGGTGCCCACCACAGGTGTGGAGAGGCCCCTACTGCTCGGGAAGGGCCCCCACTCCGCCACACCTCGGTTTCACGTCTGAACACGCAGGGTTGGAGCAGCTGATCCAAAACCTGAGTTCTGCACTTTTAGCTGCAAAACTCCACGGCCTCCAGTGAAAACGGTAAACGGATCTTTTTTCCTAACAAGACGATTGGAGTTCATTTCTTCTTCGCAAGAGTCAATTAACAGAGGTCTATTCATCCTCCACTTAAGATTGTCCCATTCTTCCTATGGGCAAAACATAAGCACAGTGCCAGTAACCAGTGCCACGAGCTGTTGCCAACGCCATCGAATTGGAGAGAGAGCATAAATCACGGACTGCGCTCGGCACTGGCCCGCAGAGGGTCTCGGGGCGCTGCACACACCAAGCCAGGGCTTGACGACATCGGGATAGAGCCGCTGACACAGACACACGGGGACCCGGTCGTGACACTCGCCACGGACCCCCCGACTGTGTGGGACACACAGAGCACTCGTGCTGATGGGAAGGGACCTGCAGGTAACATCCCGTCCAGGGGGACGCAACTGGCCGCCCTGCCCCGAGGGGTGGCGGATCTTTGGCTTTACGTATTTATTTATGTCTTATCATCGAAAATTCCAAACACACAAAAGTAGAGAAGCCAGTGGAATGAGCACTCGCCACCAGCTTCAGCTGTGCCCCAGGCGCGGAGAAGGTTCTGGAAGCCAGGCCCCACAAGGCCCCGAGTGGGTGGCTCACCGCTCACTGACGGCCATGACGTCCAGGACGTTGGAGAAGAGGATGTGGGCCTCGGACGGGTGCAGGATCTTCTTCAGCCGCTCGTTCTCCATGAAGTGGGACACGAGCAGGCTCAGGCTCTTGTAGTAGGAGGCCTCGGAGGTGACCAGCTCGAACATGGCCTGCGTCAGGGACACGGGCAGAGCAGACAAGAGGAGAGTCTGCGGTCACCCCTGAGGACTCGCCCTCCAGGAGGGTGTCCACCCCGTTCTCAGACAGAGTCGCCAAGGCAGGCCGGGCAAAGGTTTGAAAAGTCAAAAAAGACTGATGCCGAGGCCTGCTGGGACGGGCGCGCGGAGGAAGGGGCTTCCATACGCTGGTGGCAAACTCACCCTCCGCAAGAAAGGTACAGCGGCCACACCCTTAGGGCGCTTGTGGTTTACTGTGGTGAAAACTGGGGACCGCCTAGTGTCCAAGATATGAACAAGGGAAAAACAGGAGGGGTCAGCCGTACTTCGGAGCCCCGACAGCGGCTAAGGTGACTCGGGTCTGTTTCCTGGTGTGGGATGGGCACGAAAGTCAGCAGCAGAGGGACCCCACTTCCGCACGCCCAGAAAGATGTCTGGGAGGGAACGGGCCATCGTGTCAACCACAGACATCAGCAGGGGGTAGAACTGAGAGGGACTGTTACTCTCTTCTTTTTACCCTTTAAATTCTCTGAAAATTTTGAGCATGTATTATTTCTCTCATGGTCTGATCTTACAATGCAATCGATAAAGCAATTTTCATTTTGGAAAAGAGAGAAAGAAATCCATAATCTAATGCACTTTTGGAGGCACCTTTATTCCGTATCGTGATTCTGACCTGACTGTTGAGCCTACGACCCCAACAACACTAATCTGTCTCTGTGCTCTCGAGCGTCGCTCTGTGAGGTGCAGGCAGCAGATCCTGGCCACCTTCCTTCCTCCCTCACAAGCAAACCCAGCGACCCTTCCTGAGACCACCCTGGGACCACCTCACCTTCCTCTCCCCCATCACCCCCGCTGTTCCTCCACCTAGGGCCGGTTCAGGCTGCACACCGGCTGCTCAGAAGGGATAGTGTAGTGGAGTCAATTGTAGCCCCCAAAAGCTGTGTCCATGTCCTAACCTCTGGCACCTGTGAATGTGACCTTATTTGGAAAAAGGGTCTTTTCAGGTATAGTTAAGGATGTCAAGGTCAGAGCATCTGGATTTAGGATGGGCTCCAAACCCAGTGATGGGTGTCCTTATAAGAGAGAGGCAGAGGGAGCTGGGGACCCAGACGCACAGGGAAGACGGCCACGGGAAGACAGGCAGAGACTGGAGTGAGGCCTGGAGCCGGCAGAAGCTGGAAGAGGCAGGAGGATTCCCGGGGCCTTTGGAGAGAGCATGGCGCTGCCATCACCCTGATTTCAGGCTCCGGCCTCTACAACTGTGTGAGCGTAAATTCCTGCTGTTTTAAGCCACCCAGTTTGTGGTCATTTGTGACAGCAGCCCCAGGAAACGAACACAGACAGACAGAGGAGGGATGGAAAAACTGAGCAGTGTAAGCACAGGGGGCTCCGGTCCCTCCCCTGTGTCCTGTCCACCCCCCATCTCACTTACTATGGGGCCCGGCCCCTCCACCCTCCTCACTGGTCAGAACCCTGATCCAGGGCTCCAGGCTCTGGCAGTGACAGCTAAGCTTCAGGGGTTAGGAAGGAAGAGAGACAGGGAGCGAGGCAGGAGAGGGAAAAAAGAAGGGGGTAGGGGAGGGACTAGCATTGCTCCAAACACACGGGGCTCAGTCTCGCTAAATCCTCACATGTTCCCCAGGATGGACATACAGGAAGCTCCCATTCACCAAGAGGGAACTGACACAGAGGTTGAGTAATGCCCCCAAAGTCATACTGCTGGATGGTGGAAATGCAGAGATTCAACCCAATTCTCTGAGTTCTGGGCTCTGCCACTACCCACCCTGCCGTGTCACGGCAGGCAGAGCAGGGGTTCAATGGTGTCTGCAGGTGGCATGCCAAGCGGCCACTCTGTTGCTTTCATGCAAAGCTCGGACAAAGAGCCAACCTGGCAAAGCATTCTGAAATAGGTGACATATTGGTGAACCTGGGGGGCCCAATCGCATGAGCCTGCCCAGCACCAGTGAGAAAGTTCTCGGGGACATCACCCCAGGGGTGGCCCACCAATTACAGACCCTGGGCCACCAGCAGCAGCGAGAACTCACCTGGTGCCCTAGTGTCCGTGCCTCACTGAAGACAGTGACAATGAGATGAGGAGCTGAAATGAGCCCGTGGCCTCCCTGTAACTGTCCGCAAGTCACAGCTGCTTGGTCTACTTAAAAAGACGAAGTCATGGAAAGCGCATCACACTGGCCTCACTAACGGCAGAGCTGTGGCCCCAGCATTGAACAATGACCCACGCTTCGTTCTGTCTGTGTCTACCCCAGCCCTGCCTGGGAAGACTGAGACTCCAATGGGCAGGAAGTTTCCAGGAGCTTCTCTGTTACAGATGCTGAAATCGAATCACTTTCCTGCTGCTAAATTTAAGTTTCTTAAGAAAATGTCAGGCCATTACAGCTCGCAAGATCTAAGCAAATATAACTAAACGCACCCTCCAAACTGATACGCACGAGCACTACAGACGCCAAGAGAGAAAAAAATACCACTCCTGAAACATGGCCCCACAGAGAGAGGCATGTCCAGGAGACCACGTCTCCCTGAGTGACACCTGTTAGGTGTGCCTGGGACTGTGCATGTACATGCCATCCTGCTCTGTGTCACCCAGATCCCCTGGGCGGATGGTATCTTTGTCCTGACCTCTGGGGGGGTAAGTGTCGGCCAGCTGGGTGGGGACAGGCGGGCCTTTCGGCTGCTGACACGCGGAGGCCCTGGGCCTAAGTGACCACTAACTGTTCACCACAGCACGCACCCCTCGCGGCTCGTCGTCTGGGAAGCTGCCTTTGCCAGGGAGTCTTCACTTTACATGTCAAATTATTTGCCACGTCAATACGGTTGTCTTTTCCTTATCAATATTATTTTTACTCTCAGTCATTCAAGCCATTGCATAGCAGTGTGGAGCCAACAGGGATCCAGGCCCTGCTCGTTCATTCATTCATTCTTTCATCCATGCACTTGTTCATCCATTCGTTCCACAAACGTTTACTGAGCGCTGGTCTAGGCACCAGGCCCTCAGGGTGACCACGGAAAACACCCTGCCGCCACCATGGGGCTCACCTCCTGTCGGAGCGGAGACACAGCAGACGGGAGTGAAGGGCAGGGGTGAGGGAGGCTGCAGAGCAGACAGGAGGATGTGTGTGTGTGTGTGAGACTGTGTATGTGTGTGTATATGTGCGTGAGTGTATGACTTTGTATATGTGTGTGAGTGTATGAGTGTGTCTACATGAATGAGTGTATGAGAGTGTGTATGTGAGTGAGAGTGTGTATGTGAATGTGAGTGTGTGTGTGTGTGTGAGTCAGTGTGTGAGAGTGAGCGTGGGTTCCTTACACAGGAAATCTCTCCTTGATAAACCGGCCGCCTATATCACAGCACTGCTCCTCGGGGGCTGGTCAAGGCCCCTGCTTGCCCACCACCAGGCTGCCGTGTGCGCCCTCGCGGCTGGGCTCACGCAGGATCGTTATCCTCGGGGAACACTCAGTCAGACTGATGCAAATTGTATGAATCATGGCTTGGTCTCCCAGTGGCGCTCTTAGCGCTTGACTATCCCGTTTGATATCTGCTAATAATCATTTTACTTTTCTTGGCCTTTCCCACTCCTGCTACTGCTAAGCCCACTCCCACCTGGGTCCTTCTCTAAGGTTAAGATCTGGTCAACTCTGGACGTTTCTTCAGAGGGGCCAGCCCAGGTGGCTGTGTAGTCAGCGACGGCTGTGATGGGCCTGGTGTCCACCACAGGCAGCTGAGCAGCACAGTGGTCAAGGCTTCGGCCCTGGAGTTAACCAGACCTCTGCCATGAATGAGAACTGCTTCATCCCGCTAAGCCGCTGTCTCCATATGTGCAAAATGGAAGCCACAGTCCCCAGCGGAAAGCACTTGGCCTGGAGCTGGCCCAGCTCAAAGCACCTGGCAGCTGCCTGGGGTTATCATCCACCCGATATCCGGTCGTTGCCATCTGCGGTCATTATCCACCCGACATCTGGGCGTTGCCTTCACAGGACCACGCTTCACGGGATGGAGCTTGGGCCAGAGGGGTCAAGGAGGGCTGTCCCAGGAAGCGACATTGAGGCTGAGTCCCAAAGTATGACCCAGAATTTCTTGAGATCTAAGACAATTCAGTCGGTGGTACCTCATTGTGCGACATGGTTCCCACCGTCTGGTCCACCGTGGACCCTCATCGGTCCACACCCGCTCCCACCTCCCCATTCACGTCAGTCCATAGTGCTTCCAGCCTCAGCAAAGCGCTGGGCTGAACAGGTCTCTGCCTGGTCCTTCACCTACGCTGTCTCCTTCCTATAATTCAGGATTCGCCATGGCACCCCCATGTGACACAGTCCACCCTGCTTTGGATTGTTCTCGGCTTCCCGACCTTGGTGTCAGTGAACCACAGCTGTCTCTGCTGCCACCACCTTCCCTTTATCACCATGCTGTTGTGTGGCCTGAGTCACCGGGGCCACCTCCATGGGAGCCAGAGACAAAGGAGGGCTGCCCGAGGACTGAAGCTGCCCCACCACCTCCCTCCACTGCTGTGGTTGTCTGCTGTGTCCAGCAGGCTCCTTCCCAGGACAGACTGTCCGCGGTGGCTGGGTCTGAATTCCCATCTGAGTGGGTGAAGGGGACAGAACAATCTGCTCAGGTGGCCTGCATTTTCCCCCCTGTTATGGACTGAACTGTGCCCCCCAAAAGTCATATGTTGAAGCCCTAACCCCCAATGTGTCTGCATTTGGAGATGGGGCCTTTGAAGATGTAATTAAGGTTAAATGAGGTCATACGGTGGGGCCCTAATCCCATAGGACTGTGTCCTTTTAAGAAGAGGAAGGGACACCAGGCACAGAGGAAAGGCCACGTGAGGACAGTGAGAAGGCGGCCGTCTGCAAGCCGAGGAGGGAGGCCTCAGTGGACACCAACCCTGCTGCATGGTGACCTTGGCCTTCCAGCCTCCAGAACCGTGAGAAATAACTGTTTGTGGTTCAGCTCCTAGTCTGAGGTGTGCTGT